ACTAGTTATCGGGCCGTTAATTGGGGGAATCGGGACTTGTTGAGGAGGAATTCTGTGGGGAACTCACCTTTGTCTTGGTCACGATGTTGGTGGCCAGCTTGACCACGGCAAAGTTGCCCTTGCCGATGGTCTTCTCCAGCTCATAGTAGCCGACTCGCAGGAGCTTGTCCACGGATATCTTGCTGGTCGATGGCACCTTGTAGTTCTGAGGCGTTGAGGTCGGAGGAGCTGCTGGTCCAGCCGCTGGTGTGGTGGCCATCGCAGATGCGTCGGTTCTTTAGCCGGAGAAGAAGGGGATCTGGCACGGGGCTTTCTACAGAGGGGTTCTCAGATGCCTGTTGCCGTCTGCGCACAGGAAATTCACTTAAAATGCATTTTCTTTTGTCGCGGATTTCGAACGCGCGTTCATTTGCTGGCGGCGAGACTAACAAACCGGAGAATTGAGAATTGGTGACGACGGGATGCGGGAGAGCGAAGATTGAAGACTGAAGACCGAAGAACGGAGACGGGAGAGGCGCCGCCAGCAACAGTGAGCTGTGTGTGTAGCTTGTGGATTCTAAAATATTCACTTAATTTGATTAAGAGGTCAATGGCAGCTTCTCGTTCGGACGTGGACGTTCCAGCGGATTCTCGGCGGGCAGTGGGCCATGCCCACCTGGAAACTCCAATTCTCACTTTATTCACCTTTTGTATATATTCAAACAGCACTTCCTCGAACTTTTTATTTCTTCTCGATTTTTTACGACGCCTTCAAGTCTCAATTTAATGGTTCTTTGTTCGAACGCAAATTACTTTTCACATTTCGATTTTGCACTTTTGTCACCGCCTTGGGGGAAAAGAAAATGGTTAAATAGGTATTTCACTTTTTCTAGTGTTTGACCTTGGTTTTTCACTTCTTTTTTCTTTATAGCGGGTGGGCGTGGCGCATGTGCGCGTGTGGTTTAATGAGCAAAACAAACACCAAAGATAGCAAAAAAATAATAACACAGGCCAGTGTTATCTATTCGAGCAGAAATCTCAAAGAAAACAAAAGGCACATGAAATATTTTTCCAGCCATAACCGCGGCTGCTACTTTTTGCACTTTGAATTGTGCGTCTTATAAATCTTTTTCAATGTGTGAACCCAACTTGTTTAGAGAAAATGTTGGGTTCAATAATTGTTGAAACAATATTTCCTTAAACAATAGACAACGCTTTATTCGATTGCAATGACTATCAGATACCCATTACTCAGATAGTGAAACTACAATAGAGGGAAATGAAGATATGCAAGCAGCTAAGGGATTGTTTTTGAACGAACGTGGACCTCCTAGTGTATAATAAACGAGCACTAAATCAAAAAACTAAGGAATTTACATGTCAAATATCAACTCAAGGCCCTTATAGTTTTTAAGATCAAAGTGTCTTTAAAGGTATTCAAGAATATACATAATCTATACCTGTTACAAACTTTTTAACAAATACAGTTTACTAGTACCGGGGACGCTGTTTTTAAAATGTCTTTTTAGCATATCTATATTTCTCTGAAACACATTTTACTTGAAACATAAAATTTAAAAAGATAAACCTTCTTAAAAAAGGGACAGGTATTAACTTTTAATTGTATTTTATACTAAAAGCGATTTATTTATTTAATTTATTGATTTTTTATGAAAGTTGGGACATCCTGAATAATTGGAGTCTTTGGAATAGCACCTATGATGTTAACTTCTGGCGGCCAGTGTAAGGTTAAGCGAGTAAAAAAAGGAAGAGCCAAGACCACGAAGAAGAGGAAAACAGGGCCCATGTCTGGTTTTTTTTACTGTAAGCCGATCGCCCAGAGAAGAGGGCACGAGGGAGACAGCGATATGTAGGGGCTCTCAATGGGTTAATGTACAGCATCAAGGTCGTATGAAAACCGGGCACTTGCACAGCCACATTCGCACATAATCGCCAAGCGAAAGAGAGAGAGAGATGGGGGGGCTTACCGGCTGTGGCAGAAAGAGGGAATCGTCAAAAAGCTCATTGAAATCAATTTAGAGCAGAGTGTGTGCGAGGAAGAGGAAGCAGGCGACGACGACGATGATCAAACATTAACCCAACACTCGCGCTCACATAATCCAAACAAATTGTTTTCCCCCAACTTTCTCGTGATATTTCGCGGGTGTGAAAAGAGCAGCGGCAGCTGGACATCGCGCCCTTTCGCTCGCTCTAGTTTTCTCACATTTCTGTAAGGTTTTCGATTTTCGATACGCTTTCCTTTGTTTATTTGCATTACTCGTGGGAAGACACAAAACAGTTGTGGAACTTTTGGCAACGGGGAATTAGCAAGTGGGTGGCAAACTACCGGAGACCGAAAAACCCGGAGACCGAAGTGCTCGGAGTCAAAAGTCAAAGCTGAATGAACTTCCAGCATGGAAGTTCTCCGGCAAACTGAAGCCGGAGAGGCTGCGACCTCGCTTCCAGCAAGGAACTCACTTCCAGCGCAGAGCGAGAGGGAGCGACACAGACAGAGAGAGAGAGAGGGAGCCTGTGGTGGGGATGCAAAGACGTCACCGGGTCAAAGGTGCTGTTTCCGCTGAAAATCCTGTGGGTGTCACATCATGCACTCAAAGAGTTTTACCTCCTACACTACAAATTATTTTGTTCTTAAGATTTGTATCTTTACAAGACAACTTTTTTTTTACTCAAATAACTACTATTTTAAATCCTTCTTTTAAAAGTCTTTACTAACAGCTATTTTTACTTTTTATTTTAAGTTTTTCGCACCAGTTATCAATGGCTTTTCAAAATAAACGTCTTTCTAAGACTTTATTGTTCAAACTTGAAATAAAAATCACTGAGAAACTTTTATAGATTATGTTTAAAATAAAATCCGTTGACAAAGTAAAAGTGTTTTTAAAATATTCCTCAGAAACAGGCCAGGACTTTTATTTTTCCAAAAATATTTATTTGATTTTCATTTGAGTAAGTGTTTTAAAGAAAGGTATCTCTCACCATTCCAAAAAAAAATAAATGGATTTAAAATTACTTGAATGAATATTTTTTTTTACATATATTTTCTTATGAACCTCAATTTAAAGATTGAGTGGGTTTTTTTGTTGCATATAATTTTAATTTAAAAACTCTGACTCTTTAGAGATTATTTGTACAGTCATGCTAAATAAAATATGTGTATTTATTCTATAAGTGTATATAAAAAATGTTCCATACAAGACATCATAAGAACATAGTGGTATAAACTTGGTGGCATTTGACACTTAATCTCATTACAATGAACAGCACTTCGAGCGACAATGTTTTGGAACTGCTTCGGCTGCTTAGAGTAGGAACCTACGTATCTTGCCAATTTTGCTGATAACTAACAGTAGCGAACACAATTTCGGCTCTTTTTCAACAAATCAGAGAGGCGAAAATGATTAAAAACATAAAAACAACAGCGAAAGGCCGGACAGAAACGACAAAAGTAAAATAAATGAGGCAACAGCCGAAAGCGAAAAAGGCATGGCGAGAGCCGAAAAACCGAAAGCAGAAAGACAAAGCAACAAAAACAACAGCGGGGGCTAGAGAACTTGGACTTACACAGCAGCCAAAGCCAGACAGAAAAGCAGACGGAGCGAGAGGGGCGGGTGGGAGTGGGGGCGGTGAGTAGTGGATAGTGGGGCAGAGGGAGGGGAGGGGGAGGCAGAGCAAAGCAAACATGCGAGAGGAGAGACAGCCGCCAGCTCCCCATCGCTGGTTAAAGGGTAGAGGGAGAGGGCACTATCATTTGCATGTGTGTGCGGGGGCGCAGCAACAGTTTGTGTGGGTGTTGGTCTTCAAGGAGTCGGGGAATCTCGCAGGAAAACTACAACAAACACGTAAACAAAAAATGATTAGGAACGTAAATTCATAGGAGAAGCCCAAAAAATAACTACTACAATGTACTAATAGTCTAATAAAAAAAGAAATATCCAATAGCAGTTACTGAAATTTTGTTTGTTATTTTTAGTGGCAACTCAAAAGTACTTATTAAAATGATATTCTATTTTTATCTCATATTTAATGGCTTGACATTTGGTTAAAATAAATTGTCTCAGGGAAAACTACCAACATTCCTTATCATTAGGACCCATATTTTTTCTGTGTACTTGCATTTGTGTGGGGACAAAAGCAAAAAACTTGTCGAGGTCGCACGCACACACTCATACCTCAGCAGTGGTGTTTACAGGAGAAAGCACCTGCAATTGATAACGGGTCGCCAAATGGTAAATAGTATAAACAAGTAATGCGCAAGGTGTCCAATTAGACCACTCAACGGCAATTGGCTTTTCGCTGCCCCTTATTTGCGTTTTACCGGAGTTGCCATGACGTACGCACGCACACTCACATGTGTACGAGCGAGCGAGTGAGAGAGCGAACAAGAGAGCTCCCCCCCACAAACCGTACATACATACGTACGCACATACGTTATGCATGGGAAAACGTCACGACTTCCAAAGTGGAAAACCGTACGCGCATTTTGTTTCTTTTTTCCACAGCTCGGAATCGAAGGTAAAACTTGCCGCAGCGCACGGCACATAATTGCCATTCATGAATGTTTTTCAGCTTCCGCATCTCAGTGGCCGTCAGAGGTGGCAGCGTGAGTCACGGGGCATTTCCTACACTCCGAACTGGAAGATCAGGGAGCTACAGCCCGTGTCACGCGCTCTTCACTGGAAATAGTTGCTCACCAAAAACACACACAATCACGCACACAGTAGCATGTAAAAGCGCTGTTGTTGTTATTCCGCTTTTCTTCAGCCTCCACAAAACAACAACAATCACAAAAGCTGGTCAAATACAAAACACACTTGTAAATTTATTTAATCTTCGCTCCGACGTTTTTCGCTTTTTCTTTCTTCATGCGCTCTGGTCCCGCTTACACATTACGATTTCTATCTCTCCTCTCTCCATCACTTTACTTTATTTCCATTTGTCGTCGAGTCGCTGCCTCTGCCTTTTGCTTTTCTTTGGCTGGCGAGATTTCTTTTCACGTTGAATTTATACTATATTGCATTATATTATTGCGCTTATCACTGGCGCTTTGTTGTTGGCTTCTTGCCTTCGCTTACATATTATATTCACTTGTGTGTGTTTGCACAGAACAATCGGGCCGAAATCGCGTGGGCGAAGCGTGCGACGCGTAATTTTGCATTTAACATTTAACATTAACACACATAAATAGTCGCCCTCGGCTATTCTATTGGAATTTTTATTCGTGCCGTCGACGGCGATTCTGATTGGACAACACCACCTGCTCGCGAAGCAAAAACTCGGCACCGACTCGGTGTGGCCGTGCGGCGGGGCAGCCAAAATGCCGAAATCGATGACGGCTCCGAGGCACCTCTGCGGGCGAAATTGGGGATTAGTCAACACTGTACGGAATTTGAATTCCTGATACATTTACCAGCACTCGGAATCCGCACTAGGGCAAAACGTCTGCAACTATAAAAGGAGTTATTTTTTAGTTTTTATTATTATATAGGAGTGGCGACTTAAGTAAATGAAATGAATCTTTCTTGAGGTATCTTAAAACAGAACATTTAATCAATTTTATACACTTCTATTTTACATAAGAGTGGTCTGTGCTTTTTAAAATTTGTTACTTTGCTTATAATGTTTAAAGATGAATTAGTATAGTATGGATTCCATACACATACTATTTCTCTACTGGGAATAAACTGAGTATTTCTGCAAAATAAAAAGTATCCCCAAAAATATGCAGTGAATTTGTACACTCGGAATCTTTGTTTAAATTTATCGGAAAACTCTCCCCGAAGATACCCTTAAAGGTGTTCGATCCGAAAATACCTAGTTATTTTAAGGTACATCAATTTTACTTACCGACTAAAACATTTATTTGGAAATCTCTGCCCAACTTAGTAGTGTGGCTGGCGCTGCGGTTTGGGCTTCTTTGGCGGCTCCGCGGTTTGGGGTCGCTGCCGAATCGCCCTGGTTGCCTGGGCCACCTGTCGCATCTTTTGGGTCAGAATGGTCTTGGGAATCTCACGGGCCTCGTACCACCCGGGATTTACGGCTTTGACCCACGAATTTGCGCAGCACTCGAAGCCGCTCAAAAGTTTTGCGACACAACCAAAAGTCACCATTCTGCGATTGTATTAAAATTATGAATACTATAGAAAATAAAAAGAGGAAAAATCAGAGTTTGATTCTGTTCAATTAAAACTCAGAAATAGAATGAGTTTTCGTGGCTTTTTTCAAGGGAAGTTTCTTTCGCCGCCTGCTGTTGTAACGGCTTTTTCCCTTTCCTGCGCAGCCTGGAATACGCACTAAACTAGATGGCATCCTGGAAGGCGACGTCCATGAATGAAAGCCTTCCAGCTGGCCATTAATTCATCTCTCCGCCAGCAGCCAGCTGAATGAAAATGGAGCCTGGAATTCCACTACAGCTCTAAATTCGCAAATGTGTGGTCGAAGATAGAGAGAGGAAGAGTGGGAAGAGGGAGATGGCTGAGAGAGCGAAAGTTACGCACTAGGAGTCGCGTGACGTCAGCTCACTTTGTCAGACACTTTCAGAAAATAGTACTTACTAAATACTGGAAAAGTATTTTAAAGTTTTAAAATACTACAAAAACTATTTAAATTATGCATTGTGATAAATTCAACAAATTCAATAGGTAAAATAGTTCCAAGTGAAAGTGTTGATTACATTTACCGTAATATTAGTAAAAAGTTACGTATTTCATTAAGTAATGATAATAATCCTATAATTTTGGTTCCTACCGGCGAAAATTTCTTCTTGTCTATAAAAATGTATACAAAATTAAAATATACCTATATTTAAATAAATATATTACTTAAATAAATATTATTTTTAAAATGCTACAAATGAGTAGGTTTTGAAATAAACTTTCGTTTAATGTACTCAAGCAACGTTCCTGATAAGTCAGTACATTTACAAAACTTTAGCTGAATACAACGAACAACAAAGAACATTTCTCTCCAAAAACCCATTTGGTTTCAAAGCACTTCAAAAAGTCTTCTTCCGGAATGGATCCACCCGAATATACTCTGTCCCCAGACGATCTTGCAGAGATTCGCGAAGCATTCGCGCTTTGTGACCCCCAAAAGACTGGAAGAATCAGCCCGGAAGATTTAGGAACTGTGATGCGTGCCCTCAACCAAAACCACACAGAGTCTGAAATCTACAGATATTCCGAAGGACTCGAGGGTGATTTTTTTGGTTACATAACACTTGAAGATTTTATCGAACTAATGACCAAAATGTATAAAATAATGGAACATGTTGATTTTTTGAAGGCGGCATTCAATGCTTTCGATTACGATAAGGATGGTTATATAACACAAACCGAGCTGCGCAACGTGTTTACCAATCTCGGCCAAAAATTGAGTGACGAAGAGTTTGATAATATGTTCCAACAGGTTGATGTTGATGGAGATGGCGTCATCACCTGGAAGGATTTTTATACCGCCTACAAATCCTAATCCATAGCTTAATTTTCGTATGCTTGATCCGGGGCATTTCTTCTAAGTGAAACTTAAATACAGTTTTTCAATGAATAAAATATTAAAGTTTGGGTGAACAAATATTTTAGCCATATTTATTGAAATTTAAATTGGAAAGATCTTTTAATACACTTTAAAGTCATTGAAGTTATCAATGAGCAAATTGTAGCTGTCGCTGACGGACATATGTAGATTGCGTGAGAACATTGCCTTAAAAGAACAAGAAGAAACGCTATAGTCGAGTGCTTCGACTATCAGATAACCGATACTCTGTTTCGAATTTCAAATATAAATAAATTTAAAGATATTTATATTGGCGCATCACAGACCACACATGCAAGCGCTACGGCACCTAGGGGACGGCAGCGGTACTACAAACCATCTTACAGCCTTTTTTACTTAGTCATAACTTTATAAATAACAAGAAGAAACGCTATAGTCGAGTAAATCGATTATCAGGTACCCATTACTCTTGTTTTAAATTAAAAAAAATAAAATTCCAGGCCATTTTTATTGGCGTGGCTCACACCGCCGATGCCAGCGGACTCTAGCGGTACTACTGGCCATGCCAAAGCTTGTTTCAATTTACACTTATCGGCGTTTGTGGGGTTAGAGTGGTTGTGGCACCCTGCTAAAATAAACATGCGCTGCGCAAGAAACTCTAGAATCTGCATTCTACCTTTTATAGTTTCCGTGATCTCAGCGTTCATACGGACGGACAGGCAGACGGACATGGATATTGTCGACTCAGCTAGTGATCCTGATCAAGAATATATTCTTTATAGGGTCGGAAACGCTTTCTTCTACCTGTTACAAACTTTCTGACGAATATAATATATTTTATATAATAATACCTTTAATTTTAAGCAATTTGCAGATCAACAGTAGTAAATCCATCCCCACAATTGACGGACGAAACTATTTATGGTCCAATGGCGTTCAGCAGAACAACATGATTGGTACCATTGTTTTCCAACCCGACATTAAAGAACTCCAGGCAGGCCCTTTTTTCCTTGTCAAGGGGTTTCCCATAATAAATATGGCACAAAAGGTGCACCCAAAATTTTCAATGAACCCACAAGCCCCAGATAAACCAGAAAAAAATATCCAACAGCAAAGCAAGCCAGTAAAAAGCTTCAGAGTCAGCAATTCCAGGACCCTACCACCTGCGATATAACATAGTTTCAAAAAATCACGATGGTTCGGAGAAGGGTACTGACGAATTCCGCCAAGCAGGCTTCGATGAACGCCTATCAGCAGTTGTGGCATCAACAGCCGTTTGCCCGAGGACCTTTGGTTGCCTCAATGCCGGAATATTGGCACTCCGTGTGCAACAAAATGGGTGGCGCCATGCCCCGCATGGCGGTAATTGCTCCGCCGGAAGTGAGCAGCCGGAAATTGAGTCGACTTCGTCGTCAGCTGATGAAAGCGCCCAGTGAAACCGTTCCGATGCACAGCTTCATCCCCAATTATGGTCTACAGCAGCATCCACAAGTGCAATTTCAAAGAGGTTATCAAAACGCAGGAAATATGTCCTCTCCGAGTCAAAGCCTTTCCAAGGCGGCTCTTCTGAAACCAGGTTGCATCTTGGCCGCGTGTCAAAACCAGTCCTTCAGAAATTTAGCAGCAGCAGTAGGAGTTGCACCCACGACACCGCAGCAACACCCACATTTTAGTCAGGGAAGCTTGTTCGACTATCCTCCAATGCAATGGCAACAGCAGCAATATCAAGTGCAGCAGCAACACAAGCAATTCCTACTAGAACAACAACAGATGGCAGTACCTGCTGGAATTTTAAAGAAGTCTTCACGAATTGGAGTTGAAAGTGATCATCAGACCTCAAGTCCCCTTAAAACGAAAAGAGTGACCATCAAAAGCACAGCCGCCCCCCGTTCCAGATACCAAGAACCTATAGTGGAGCAAATAAAACTCAAGCCTGATATTCCACCCAAGCCAAGTAAAAGAGTCAAGCAAAATACACTGAAGAAAGAACGACAGCAACTGCAGCAATTGCAACTTCAACATGAGCTTCTGAAACAGCATCAGTCAATGCAAAATCAGAAAGACCAAGTGAAGCTCCAGGGTAAAGCGAGTCTGCCTCAGAAACAGCTCTTGCAACACCAAATCGAATTAAGAAAGCCACATCAGAAAAGTCTGCAACAACTAGATCCATCTAAGAGCTTTAATTTCGGAAAATTCGTAAACCACTTTATAGAAGGCTGCAGTAGGGAATCTGATACAGAAACGTCCATGTATTCGGCTGCGAATTCAGAAATAAAACCAGTAAGTAAGCAAAGCAGGCCACAAAACCCTAAGCAATTTGAGAGTTCCAAGTCAAAGAGCTTCCCCTATGAGGAAACCAAGAAGGAGAATAACAAAGAGCTCCAAGTCAAGCTTGAAAAATCGGAGGTACCCAACAGGAAGGGCAAGACGTCTTCGAGTCGCTTCCTTGATCGTCAATCCAGAACACATGAGTCGGGAAACGATAGCAGCACGATAACCCTAACCACCGAGCAAAATCAGTCAAAAACTGATTATCAAAGTCGCACATCTTTGACTGACAAGGCCACAAACACCAAGTTAGACCCTCTCAGTGATCTTTTAAAACGTGGACCTCAGAAAGCTATATCGACCACTTCAGCAACTAGTAAGGGATCTAGAAAACTAAACATCAATGAGCTGTTGAGAAATGAAAAAGTCAAGGGACTGGATGGCAATCCCATGTGGCACTCGCTCATGCAACTGGTGGCCCACATGTGCGAGGCCAAGGAAAACGAGAAGGACGATAAGGAGCAGAAGAGTCGGTTGAGGGCAGGATCCGGTGCTGATGGTCTTCAGAAGCAGTATTCCGTGTACTTGATGGTTACCTCCGATGAGGAGGACGAAGACAGGAGTTCCGTGAAACCGAAAGTTAAGCAGTCAACCAATGATCCAAAACTGGCGAGCAATAAAGGGATTCCTGGAGAAGATGAATACGCCAAGCGATGTGGCAGTGTCTATCAGGAAGAGCACCCCAAGTTAGTGAGAAGCCTGTGTTTTCTAACATCGAGATCAAATTCGAAAGTTAAAGTATCTAAAAGTATGTTACGATATATTTTGAGTTTGGATATACATTTTTTGCAGCATACTTTTAGACACCTTATTTTTTATATTTCGAGAGTTTTCTTTAGAGCTCCATGAACTCCAATAGATCTCTAAATGGTGTTTCATCTGTTTATTTTCCTTAGGCAAGGTCGCCGAAGACGTTCGAGGAAGAGGTTGAATCCTCGCCTGCGAGAACTTTCCATTCCGTACCCCTTTACGCAAACTCAGCTTCCGATGAGAAGACCCCTCCACTGGCCCAAGCCTGATTACTCCAAGCCACAAGGTCGTTCGAAACGTACCCGGAACTCATCTCGGGTTCGCTCCCGTTCCTCGACGAAACATGCGATAAAGTTGCGAAGCCAGAGGTCCATAAGCTCAGCACTCGACGAGAATCGCAGCTGGCGATTGTGGCAGGATCTTCCGATGACCGCCAGAGCCTTGAACAAGGTCTACAGTCGCATGCTGACTTTATCGGGCGCTAGCCGAACCTGCTCTGAGATATAACACATGTAAATCTTTTTTGTTAACTGACAAACCAATTTCAGACCAGCGACGAACACAAGGGCACAGCTTTGTTCCCCTAGGGATGTCTATTTCATTGGGGAACCAAGCTGGGTCCAATTTTTCGTCTTTGGTCTGAGCATTTTTCCAATATCAAATAAAAGACTGCTTTTGGCTTTAATGGTCAACTTTGATTTTAACGTCATTCCCATCAAATATGTCGGGATATACCTAATCTCACTTATTGAAAAAATACACTTTTTCATATAAAAATCAGACTAAATTGAATGTATCCAGTTGATCGGACACCAATTGATCAAACCCAACATAGCCTGCACAACATTTACCTGCGATGGCAGATCCAAATTTTCAATTTCCTCGGAAATACCTGACTATCGAAAATGATACTATTGGAATGAGCACGTGCACGGATAACAACGATATTTCCTTGGAGCAAAATCGAGGAACTAAACTTAAGGAGAGTGTTTCCTTCACTGGTTGTGGATCTCATTTTGTGGGCTTGACATTCATTCCGGAAAGGAGAACGAGGGCTTCCGGCGGGGATTGCGATTACAACATACTGCGAAATCCGTTAGTCGTGCGGAGTGGTGAGATTCCAGATCAGGGAGAGTGCGATCCCAGCTGTCCATATCGGGGAAACAATCAGGGACAGAACAATTACCAACAGGCCCCCGAACCATATTATAACCAGAATTATGATCGTTCTGCACCCGCCCAGAATCAGACCGGATATTATGACAACAGTCAACCTCAGCAAGTCTATGGATCGCCAGGCAATAATTGTTATGTGCCACCGGGTAGAACCCAATCTCAACCCAAGGATCGTGGTGGAAACGACTGTGGCTGCGATCCACCTTCTGGCAGAAGAGCTTACAGGACACCCTCATCTCACTACATGGAATACAGGGAGTTCCAGCAGAGTCCCAAGAAAAATCCTGTCTTAGAAAAACCACAATATAGTGAATATCCCGCGGAATCGCAGAGGTCCAATCGGTTGCAAAGAAACGATTCTGAATGCAGTTGTGAGCGCAGATCTTCGCCCGAAAGACGCCAGGTCCAGAGAACAAGTCGGTTACAGAAAAAGGTTTCTGAATGTAGCTGTGAATCTGAATCTTTGGAGGAGAAACAGCCGGTCCAGAGGAGTAATCGGTTGCAGAGAAAGTCTTCTGAATGCAGCTGTGCGGCTGGATCTCCTCCAAGAAGGCAGCAAGTCCAGAGAAGGAGCCCACCAGATAAGAGTTATTACCAGAGGAAATCCACTCAGGCGGCTCAAGCTTGTTCTGTTCGTTGTCATGCTCGTTCCCACGTTCAGGGATCTCCTCCGCCTCCCGCCCCCAAGAGAAAATGTCCGGCCGCCACGCCACCACCCACTTCTAGAAAACCCGCGCCCAGAACTAAATCAACCATTACTTCAAGAAATCGAAGGAAGTGTACTGTCTGCAATCGCTGTTCCGATGAAGAGAGCAGTGAACCCATCGACTATGTGGAGGGCAGTCGATCCCGGACTGAGGTGCTTAGGAATCCTTTGGTCCAATCACGGTCCAGTTACGAGTGCAACAATGATCAGCCCCACGAGAGCTATAGTGAAGAGTATCCAGTGCAGCGAAGAACACGATCTGCAAGCTGCCGAAAACCAACCCCTGAAGGTCGATGTTGTTCCCGGAAGGGACCACCACTCTGCTCCAACGAAACCCTGATGGAAAAACCAGTACAGAGCTATCGCTTCAGTTGCCCAGAGAATGGGAAATGTGCGTCATGCCGAAAACTTTGCCCGAAATGCCACAAGGTGATGCCCCAAAAACAGAGAAGTTCGTCAGCCAAGAGATATGTCTCATCGGTGGCACAGAAGTGCTGCCCTATGTGTGGATTACTACCCATGATGCCGAATATTTCCATTCCGGACATTGCCAGTGTAAGATACATCAAACTCTCATTTATATCTTTGATCTTAAAATTACTATTAACACTGGGCTATCGGATAATATTTGTTTTGACCTCTTGTCGTACGTCTTTTCTTCCAAAAGAGCAACCGCATTATCTACAAGACCCTGGGGCGATGTCGACCCAGGAAAGTGCCTAAAACTAGATACGAGCTGACCATTTGCTGTAAGAAGCGTTGCCAGGGAGGCCGGAACTCGCACTACATGACTGGCACTATTGCCACGAGTCTCAAAAGAAGGGCTAAGGCGGTGATGATGGCAGGAAACCCGGTGGCGCCTTCACGGACGTCGAGCCACAGACAAGGTTAGTTTATCCACGGCACTAGTATATTATCTCTTACGTGAAGTTCTTTCTTAAAGGGATCAGGCAATCTTTTACTCCAGCTCAAAATATGCCCAGTCACTCGCAGTCAACGGGACATAAAAGGAGCCAAAGCAGAGCAGGCATTTCCTTTTCCGACCAAGATCGGTCTACTCCATCCACTTCTGGTCAGCAACGTGAAAGATCAGCTGCTCCAGAGCAGTTTAAAATGCGAACTCCTTCCGCAAACTTGGTGCAAAAGTCTGAAAGAAGGGAGAGCGAAAGAGAAGCAATTCCTTCGCAGCAAAGGACTAGGGCTGCATCGCCAATCGTAGAGATCCACAGTTCCTCACGACATCATGAGACCTATAGGGATTCTTACCGTCCTAAGGACCAGCCGCATTCCTATAGATCTCAACCGGAACCAGCTCCTTCCTATCGAACTGATCATGAACCAGCACCATCGAATAGGTCTAGGCCTGATCCCCCAGACATACCAGCAGCTTATTCAGCCCCCGCCTCAATGGAACCGGAGATATCGGAACCCAATCGGCGGGGAGCGTCCTACTTGGGCACCGAATTGAATCCCTTTTACAGAGGAAGCTTCCTTAAAGTGCGTTACTCGAGGGACTCCTCTCAGAATCGCTTGAGCCCCATTCACCAAAGAGGGGAGAAGGTCCAGAACATGCCCAAAGCGCGAAAATCTCCGGGAATGGGCCTTCCTATGAAATATACTAGATTAAGTCAGCTACAAGCTTGGGTGTTTGGGGACCCCTTCGTGAAGGCTAATGACAATTTGGGAACCTGGAGCTGGCGCCAGATTTTCGGGCGCAGCAAGAAGCGTGCGGCCTCCAAGAATAAACCAGCCAAGCCAGTAGAAGCAAACGTATAGGCCACGAGTCTCATGTCTGAATCAAAACCCTTTTCAAGATGAAGCATTTTTTTAACAAAAAAATTATGAGCCACTGCCGGAGTTCAGGGCAGAAAAGAAATGGTGCGGGTCGCGAGAGCCAAACCGATCTTTCGCAAGATAGTCACACCGATGTGTGCCCCGAGGCCCGTCCTGTCCCCCAAAGACCGTGTCCTGGCAGCCAGAATGCACCAGAGAACATGTACGTCCTGAAGAACTGCGATCGATGTCAGGACTACTCGGTGCAGCCGTGCGGCAAGGGTTGCAAGTGCCCAAAGAGGGGAACTCAATGCGCCGGTGAGTGCGATGTTTCGGATCGGGAAAAGTCGCAGTTGCAGTCCCAGGAGAGCTTCCCTGAAGCGGTGAAACCGATGACGAAGATGACAGAATCGTCGAAATCCTCACTTGACCCAGCTGCGTATCGTCGGATGGGCGGCAACTGTCCCATTTGCCAGCTTTGTGGACACGAAGAGATCCGGCAGCCAGGTCAGAGTATGTGTTGCACTTGCAACGAAAAGATACAGGCGGCCGTGGATAACTACTATGTTCAGTGCCAAGGACAATGTCAGCCCACAGGAAGGCCATGTCCTTATCGACAGGATCAGGGACAGGCACAACAGCCCGCGTCTCAGTCACCTGGACAATGGCAACAGTTGAACGGATCTCCATTTGGCGCCCAGCAGCAGGGTGAACAGCCCTTCAATATCATTGTCCTCCAGGATTGCGACAATCATGCCTTGATCGACCAGTTGACAGCTGCCATAAATCGAGGTGGAGGTCAAGCGCATACGCCATTGCAAAACAACAACTACCCGAACCTCTATCCCAACCAACCGAATAACTTTCAAAACAATCCACTGACTGGCTATATAGACTACGATTACCTCGACCTTAATCGCAAGGGGTACGGTTACGAGCCCGAAAGGGAGGACAGATACGACTACGGTTACGACATGGGTCCCTGGCCAATGGATCACTACTACCCAAGGGATGGTAAGTAGACACATCTTTATTTCATATTTACGCTTTAACACATTTTATAGGATTTGAAGAAGACGGGTACCGTTCCATCTCGTGCAACAGCTACGACTGTCCCGCTAAAAATGATCAGATCCCAAAGCAAGACTCCTGGGACAGTAATCAGACCTATAAAGAGAGTCAAGCGCCTCGCAATGGCCAAGCCAATAATGGTGCCTGCAACTGCAACTGCCATGATTTTGAGACCAAAGATAAGCTGGCCTCGCTTATAGCCAAGGCGCTGGAGATCTTCATCAGTAGTAATCAGTGCAAAAACGATGAGGTCAAAGATGAGGAGCAGAACCAAAAGAGCGGAAAGGTTAAGAATCCAGAGAAAAAGGTTAAGAAACCCAAGAAACGCGGTAAAAGGAGTAAGAGTGTAGAGCCTGCCGTAAATTCCTCAGCGAAGAGTGCCGCAAATGTGAAAGGGGAAAGCCCTTTGGGGATCGCAAAAAGCAGCAAAGCTAAACTTAGTGCGATATCCACTCCCTTTTCGAAGGTGAACTCCCTAGACAGCTCTCTCTTGAAGGTCACCAAGAACCCCATCTCCAAGAATTCCTCGCTCTACGGGGACTCCAACGCCGACACAGTCAGTGCGGGATCCCGCAACAAGGATCGGAATGAGAAGCCCCCGTTCTTTCTGCCCGACTGCGAGGAACATCGCTGCAAGAACGACTGCAAGGGCATTTGCTCGCGGAAGCCGCATGATTGCGGCAGGGGCTGCAAGTCCGTTTGCCAAGGACCATGCTCCAAGTCGGGGGGTGGCGATGGACAAAGTCGCAGCAGGGCATCCAAAAACAAGCAACAACAACAGCGGCACGCCCGCTGCCAGCAGTGCAACCAGGGTGAAGGTCGCCAGTGGCAGGAAGTGGGCGGAACCACGGACTGTCCCGACGGCACAAATGCCGGGGGCGCCAGTGCTCCACCTGGATGTTCCGGTTGTGGGGGCGGACAGGATAGAAGCAAGGGCGGCGGCAAGGACCGAAACCCAGCCGGCGGCAAGAACACACTTTTGGGACTCAGTCCCATTGCCCACTATCGACCCGGAATGCTGCAGTTTCCCGTGAACTACCTCCTGGCGGGAACGAATTTCCGACGCAGCCTCGTTCGCACTGCCGCCGGAGTGACGTTGCACCAGAAGCCCTACGTGGACATGGCCGATGCCAAGGACCTACCCAACTTCCCGTGTCGCAAGAAAGGTGGCAGTGCAGACTATGAAACTCCCGCCAAGAAGTGGCTCTGAGCTCCGGAACGCGTCTCCGAAAGTTATGCATTGTAGAGCATCGAAGGCCCTGAGGGCTTCCTTCGATCCATATAGTGCATAAGTTTGTAAGGACGCTCAGTGGTTTATAGTTTTAGTTCTCCAAATTCTCAAGTATTCCTACTATTTATACAGTATTTATCATGCGCAATAAACCAGTAACCAATCAACCCCAAAATAATCAAGCGTTTTTATATTAATTTTTGAACTTATTCTAATTTTTGTTTAGAAAACAGTTTATTTGACTGTACCCGTTCCAACTTGAATTAAATTGTGATGTTTCATGTCGTAAAATACATGTTGTGATATTGATCGAGTAATTGTCGATCAATACCAATAATACGCTTAGAAGTTGAATTAAAACTCTTCGAAAACCTGAATAACTTCAACAGATATTAGTTTAATTGGTACACATCGCATACAAATACTTGTATGTATCTTAATCCGTTTGTGTATGTCTTTTTTCGTTTGCAACAATCCAGCGAATTTCCAAATAACTTCCGGATCTTTCGGCTTCCGCCTTCCGTCGTTCCATCGGTCGTTGGCCGAGCTGTTTCCGCTTCCTGTGGCCCAGATTAACTGCTTAGGGCGGTGCGAATCAAAAGACGTGGACAGCAATGAGCCGGGACAAACAATTAACGCCGCAGGCGTTTCCTCATCGCCACCGACCAAAAGTCACTAATCACCGGCAATATTTTGGGAGTTGTGCTCTCGTACCTGAACGGACGTGAACGGACAATGGATCGAGAATCAAATTGAGCCTGCTGCACCAGCTTCCTGCTCTGCATTTTACACTGCCTCAAAACGAGGATCTAATTTGGTTTCCCCGCTGGGTTTGCCTTGCCACATGTCCTGCGGAGAGGATGTCGGGATGGGTACACTCTGAAAAACAAACCAGTAAGATGAAAGCAGTTCCTATGAAATATATTTCTAGTTTAGTAAACTATTATCACTATCAAGGTTAACGTTTGGGAGTAAGTTACAGGTAGCGTATCCGACCCTGTAAAGTATATACATATATTCTTGATAGGGATTACTAGCCGGGCCGTTCTTGCTGAGATCTCGGAAACTATCAAGGCTAGAATTTTGCTGCTATAGCTCTAGAATAAACCCACTGTTAGCTTAAAGTTTTAACTATAAGTTAGCATTAGATAATAATAATAATAATCAAGGCTAGAAAGTTGGAACAAGGCATGCAGATTCTATATATTCTTGCGCAGCGAAAGTTTTGTGTCACGTCCAATCAAATTGGACTCACCTACAATCAAATTCGACCATTAAGAAACGGGTATCTCATAGTTCCTGTCCTTCTTTTTCCATGTCTTTTTGTTATTTTTCATCTATTGCTTACGTATTACTTATTAGGTACAGAAATAATAATAATATATTCTTTATGAATCCAGCAATTTGACGTTACGTTTTTTTAAGATTTTTGTAACGATTTTTAAAAGTCTGCTTGGTTTGTAAAACTTTCAAAACTGCTTTTCCTCTTTTATTTACAATGATCTTCGATTAAATAAAAATTCGGTTTGAGTACCCTATTTCGCCCACTTAATAAGCAGGTAAGATTTCTGAACGATATAAATTCAATACCGTTTGCCACAGTGCATAAATGTTAATTGCAACGCATAGGGTTCTACGCACTTTTCCTCGCTCAGCAGGACATCCTTTTCCTTGTTATTGTTGTTTGACAACATTTGTTTTTACAATTCCCTGCGTCCACGTCCTTCTTTCCCCAGCTCCTGTTTTGTGTACAGAGTACGCGCCTTCCCTGCTCGGTTCCCGTTTCCGCTCGGGAGAAGCCTTCATTTCAGCCCTCACTCTCGACTTCGAGCAACAGATGATTCCAGGTCTTGAGCTCCTGCAGGAGGACCTAATCCCATGTGTTGTTTGGCGAACGGGATGCGGGACAGCAGGCACTTGGGCAGGAAATGCAATTGTCTAGGCTCAAATATTTGGCAAATGCGCCGAGCCATTCATCAGCGGATGCACGTATCTATGAGTTGTCGATTGCTATCTGCACATTGTTCTGTTTGTCTCTGCCAAACTGAATCCGTTAGTTCTTTTTAGATTACAGTTTCACTTGAGGCAGTGGATTCGTATCAATTTTAAATATGTATTTATATGTATTAAGTTGGCATCTCGAGGGATAAATAAAAGCACATTAAAAACATTTATTTTATTAGGTTTTACATATGTTATTAAGATAATGACAGATTATTTCAAGATTTTTTAAATTTAGACTTTCCTTGAAGCTGAGTATATTACTATAAACTCATATTATCATAATTATGTATGACTTGCTTTCAATTAATTGCTGGGTTACAAGTGCATGGGTTTGGTTCCCTTGATCTAAACGTTGAAATGAATATCGAACCTACAATGAATCGAGAATAATCTTGTTATTAATATGTAGCTAGTTAATTATAAACATTTCCCTAAGCCCTTGATCACTTCTCTACCTACATACATAAGTACATCCTACTTCCCCTCGAGGCCATCCGCCTACAATAGTGATCCGATTGGATCTGCGTAAGTGGTTTAACTAACAAAGAACCGTCGCCTCATTAGAGATGTCCCTCCGGAGACAATCCGCTGAGCTTTCCTCACCAGATTCTTCTGTTTACTTGCGTTCTATGCGTGGATTGTTCTGGGGCATGTTATTGTGGGTTTTCGTTAGTTTACTGCCCGGTGGGTTGGACCACAAACCATTTACGTGACACGTTTTGTAAGTTCCCATTGTGGACAATGGTGTTGTTGCCGTTAATCAGATTCACGGAGCATTTCTTCACCGCCGTTCTCTTTATTTACTTTCATTGTTATCATTTGAAAATGCCTTAATCCGAATTTATGAAACGAAAGCGGAAGTCGGCTGCGGCTTGTTGCCCTATTGTCTCCGGTATTCAGCGCTCGGTTTCCCAGCTCCCGGTGATATACCGATCAGATCTTGCCTTGGAATCTCTTCTATACACTCAAGAAAATACAGGTGAGAGGTTATCGTTTAAAAAATACATTTAAAGAGTTGGGTGTACCTTTCCTAAATTGTTTCAATCCGTATTAATTGAAGATATAATTTAATTATATAGTTGCTCTCAAATAAGTTGAAAAAAACTATTAACATTTATAAAAGAGATTAATATTATTTTCAGATAAATATAATATCCAATGCAATATTTTGAAATAATGTTTTTGACAGTGTATAATCTCTGGCCGACTGTGTGGCATTTTCGTCGCGATGTTGGGGTCTGTCTGTTTCTTTACGAGCGCGTCTTATTTTTCCAGCTTTTTTATTTACGGTTACTTGATTTGGTTTTATTATTATTCTTCTGATTGATTCGAACGTTTTCGTAATAAGATTTCAGTTGGAAACTTGAGAAATCCGGGAAAAACCGAGGAAAACCGGGGAAAACATGACAGCTGCTACGCCTCCCGCCCGAATTCTCCGAAGGAAAACGCTGAAAACTTTATGACGGAAGATGCCACACAATCTGTTTATTGATTTATAGTCTGGGGAAAGTGCCAATAAAACGCCGAGCACGAACTGGAAGCTGCTTGGGATTAGTTCTCCGGAGGGGAAATCCCTCTATGCGATCGTTAAAATTACTATCCTATTCTACATTCGCTGCATCTACGATCTGTATATTTTTGTAGACCTTTAATGACTGTGGACGGGATCCCTAGGTGGAGCTGAATTTCCGAAAATATATATGGCTCGTAAATCGTTTAGTTCGGGGGTGGCTTATCTCTATAAATAGCTGGCGACACCCCGAGTATTGGATGGATATTTTTGGGAATTTGATATATTTCCTCGGCACACGCTACCCATTCCCAATCCCGATTTCGATCCCCATACAGCTGCCAGATGTACGAGTACATAAGTGTAAATTAACTATCGTGCCCGATCGTGTTTGGGGGTTTAACTTCCTCTGCCGGCAATTTATGCACAAACACAATCCGGACCCGGGCACGTAATTGAAAATCAACAGAGCTAAGCAAATATCCAGGCATTCCTTTGGGCAATTATCAGCCGGACACACAGAAATTACCTCACAGAGTCACGTACGTGCGCCTAAGCAAACATCCTTTTCAGGCCTCTCCTTCCACCGTAGAACTATTTCTTTTTGGCAACTTTCATTGCACATCCTGTCCAAGGCGATTCTTATCGTTCTCGAGATACCCGTCCCTAATGCGTAGATTCAAATGCCGATTCCTGGCCAGACAATAGGGAAAAACGTTGCAATTGGATGCGAGGCAGCTGTTTTGGCTTGGGTTCGCATGTGGACAGGATGAGCCGGGGATTAACCGTCAATGCACTGAAAAATTGTACAATATTTACCCATATATGTATGTTGGTATTTTATTACATAAACATAACATTTGCATTCTGGACAATGTCCATTGGACATACTATACTAGTAATATTAAAAGTTAAAACTTCATTAGTCATAACATTCGATTCTTCTACTTTTAATATGCATTTTACGTTTTAAATGTAATATAACATTTTTTTATGATTTACCAGCATTTAGTTGGTGTGCCTTGAAAACCTCTCGAACTTACTTAAATATATCCTACCCCAGACAATTAATTTGGAAATGATTTGCTCAGAAGGAAATAATTTATCTCCGTGTGTTTATCTGCGTTCGTCCTTCGCATCGCAATTAGAAATGATTAGAGCGACGCCGCAATCAATTAAGGAAAATGGTACCTACTCAATTTATTTGCCGGCGATCGACAACTGCTGATAAACAAGCCATTAGATGCACTTGAGATCGCAACAGGACACCGCTTCAAAGAGGAGGTGCAGCATCTGCGCTGCAATTCGAGTGCATCTGATCCTCCATCCGCACCTTTTTAGGGCGTACGCGTGCCCGTGGGCGGGGGCGTGGTCCTGCAACTGCTGATAAAATTTCCAAGTAAGCTGGCGTAACTCGATCATCGGCATGATCCCGCTTCACGCGAGGAGTAAAAGGATTCGAGCACGCACTTGACAGCTCTCGACACATGGCTGACCCACAGAATGTATGCCATATGCTGCGATCCCGATCCCCACAAAAGGATCTCCAGAGATATCCAGAAACCGCTTGGCATGCGTGTCAGCCGCAAAACATTGAAATGCTTTTTAGTGCGCGGCAGGAAAAGGATTTCCTGCAATTACTCGACGATCA